TGACCTCGCCGGCTACCACCAACGTGTGGTCGGCGGTCGGTCAACAAAGGATATCTAAGTCAGCGGGGAAGATTGACTCACAGAGCCGCATCATAGGCGAGGTTCCACAGTAGCGGTCACAGCACCGAGCCTTGTCGCACCATGGTCAGTACTCACAAACTGTACTCCGGGCCTCTGGGTATAAGGTTCAGATCCCAGACGGAATGAACATTTGTGCAAAAACGTAAACTATTGGATTACCGATGATTATTGATTACTCTTCTCACTTCCATCGACTGGCAAACCTTCTGCGAGCGGGTTATAAGTGTTTCTGTGTTTACGTGTGTACTGGTGGCAATATTCAATATTTCTTGCACAGTTGACATGTTCCGAACATTACAAAACACTCAACCTGTACCTTCAAATGTTGTGCAATCTGAAATCGGCGTTAAATTTTACTTAGCACTTGGACACTTATAGGATCCAACCAGTGGAGTAGCGTGCCTTAGAGCGGGGCCCTGTATCAAAATTTGTCGGGGGACCCAAATGAAGGGTAAAGATTTTTCACAAAAGGAACAAAAACTCTCGCACTGAATTAAAATAATTATATATTGATTATGTTTTTTTTTATTATCTATCTTTATTTAAAAAGTTATAAAATAAAAAAATAACTTATAATCAATATATTTATTACATACAATTAATATTCCTAGGAACTAAGCTAGCGAAACAATTCAAACCAACATCCTGTCCCATAGAAGTCCTTAGAATTTTTGCTTACATACGTTCGGGTTCGGGGCCTCTGTAGCCCGGGGGCCCCGTATCTAGGCTTGCCAGCACCAAAAAAGTCATTTCCGGGATTACCCAGCTCGACATCCGGGACTTGGTATATTACGCGGGACACGACACACCACATACAAATTGGTTAGAAAAAAAAGCACATTGGTTATAAAATTCACTGCATTTTTGATAAAAATAATGTTAATTTGTAGTTCAGCCTTGACGTGGTCAATAAACAGCTGTTAATAAGCTTATTTCCGCTGTCTGTCCATGCATTTTCACAGAGAGAAAACACTCTCTCTGCTGATGCATTTTAAAGTGGTATCGAAGCTACGGCTAAGGTGTAGTTGGTACGAGATAGATACTAATATCATATAATCACTGATTTCCGGGACAAGCAAGGGGTTACGGCGGGACGGTACAAAATTGATCCAGAAGCGGGATGTCCCGGAAAATCCGGGACGGTTGGCAAGCCTACTCTTATCATTGATACAGCGGTAGCTACGCCCCTGGATCCAACGCACACTCAAGTCAAAATGAGTGCTTTTTTTCATCAGTCCGAGAGAGTCGACAAGAGGCTCTCCTGTATAAAAGAATTTCCATAATCGTCATACTTGGCAGGTGGGTTGATCGACTGAACGATCTGTTAGGAGGCCGATCCCGTTTGACTTTTTAAAAAAAAACCACAAGGTAAACCTAAGGGTTTATTATAAAAAGTTTACACACACAATTAATATTAACCCTGACTTCCGAACTCTAATACGTATCGGAATCTATGTCCGATCTACCCGGGGCTCTGAATCTAACTGACTGTAAAATGGAATAAAATTAATATGGAAATGAACAATGCAATTACTTATTGACGTCATATATAGGAAAAGTACCGTGGGATTGAATAAATGCTTACTAAGATTTAACTGCGTTGTAAAAAGGGATATAACAGCTCCCCCCTTTTGACTGAGCTTTTTCTAAATTAAGATAAAGCGAAGTTTCGAAATAGAGAAATAGTTAGAGGTCGGAAGGCGTTACAAAATATAGAAATAGAAAATTAAATTTATAGTAAAACATAGAAAATTTATCTTATAACAATATAAAACTTCGAACTATTTGATTTTACATAAAGATAAAGTAAGTTGTAACTAAGTTATGTAAAAGAAACATAGTAAGATTTAACAAATAATCAATATAAAATAGAACAATGAATTTATATAAAGGTAAAATAGTAAAATCTAGAATTAAAGGTATTTTAAATGAATTAGTAGAATTACGAGTAGAAATTGATTTTTAATAAACAAAATAGTAGTTTCAATTACAATTTTCATTTTAACATTGTATATAATTAAATAACAATACACATTTAAAATTAATAAATACTTATTACAATTAGATTGAATCAAAAATAGTAAAATGTAGCAATTACAAAATATAAAATGACAAAGTAGAAATTGAAATTGTATGATAATAAAATTAATTATTTGTTTTAATACAAACATTTTTGAAAACTAAAATTGAATAAAATTAGAAATTAAGATTTCTTCCGGAGGAAGAGTGAACTTTGTGTACAGTTCGATAAGGTTCACAATTAGTACAATTTGGTAAAGGTTTGGGTGAATTATTATCTTCCTCAGATGTTGACATATCAATCATCTCAATTGAATTTGTAATTTTAGAATTATGTTTCGATTGTACATATATCCATTTATTATTTTTTAATTTATGCCAAATATTGATTTGGCCAAATAATAACTTGGAGTTACATTCAGAAGGTAAGGAAAGAGTTACTTCTGTTAATAATTTCGATTCACAATTAGGATTATTTATGCTAGACGTTATAGTAAATAGTTCACAAATAGAATAGTTATTATTAATAAATTTACAATCATCTAAGTTATTAAACATAGTATAATGTATTCTATCGTCACTTAAAGCAATATAAGAATTAGAAGGTTGAATAAGTGCAAACGTTTGTATATGCGACTCGTCGTGAGGAGTCGGTAATGGGATATTTTATAAACAATGAATTTATCAGGTGTTATTAATGGAATCTGCAAGCTGAAAACAATCTTATTGTTATAATAATATGAACTAAGTTTCGAAACATCAATTAACGAATGAATATTATGTATGTTCAATTGCACTGGAAAATCTAAACGTTTATTTATTTGATTGATATGCTTGCTTAATTCATTATAAAGACTTAAAGGGCTAATCACGCTAGGATGCAAAACATTTACCTTGGAAAATAGGATAGCATTTATAGTCGTGTCTAGCAAGTTAGAAATAGCAAGTAAGGAGCTTTCAATTAAGTTCAATAAATTATTTATTCTAGAAATGTTAATAAGTAAATTATCGGTTTTTGTGATTTGCGAAAGAATTTCATTCATTTTATTAATTTGTGAGTTTAATCTTAATTCATTTTGGTTTAATTTATAAATAGTGGCATTAAAATTATTTATGGTAGATTTAATTATGTGAATATTGTCTCTGAATAAATTAAATAGTTCTGTTTCACTTTTCCGACATAATTCTATCGCGGCATCGTATTTTCGCGCATCATCTGCGTCTAGAGTACCGAAGAAAAATTAAGAATTTCGCCTCCAAATTCTAGAGATCTTTTAACTCTATTTGGCGATTGATTATTATTGATTATATGTGCTAGGGATTGCAATTTGACGTAATTATATTTTATTAAAATCTCTATAGGATTTGAAAAATCTTTACATTGGGAAAATTCGTCAGTATTTATTTTGGAACAAAGGTTTAAGGTATCATATAATAAATTTTCAATTTTATTGAGATAAGGAGCTAAAGGTATAAGGTCTATATGTGTTATAACCTTCCAATAATCGTTATAAAAGTTAATATGCGTAATAGGTTCAAAATAAAGTCCAGGACTATGTGATATAGGTATGATCCTCGACTCAGCGTGGCTTTGGCTTCCATAGCATAAAGCTCTGAAAAATATATAAAATAAGTTAAATTTAAGGAGTGTTAATAGCAGGCTTAATCTCGTTTATATGATACTTAACATGTTTACGACCTACTTGTAAAGTAACGTTGTGCTTATTATGGACTTTTATAATTTTATATGGACCTTTCTATATAGGTGATAGGGCCTTACGGAGTCGGTGATGGTGTTTTATATAAACTAAGTCACCAATTTTATAAGAAATTTCGCGTGAACTTACATCGTAATATTGTTTGGATTTTGCTTTGCTATCAATTATTTTTTGAATGGCCTTTTCTCTACTAAAACGCATTCGATATTGTAAAGCTCGAATATAGTCATTATAAGTGGTATTATTGTTCGTTTCGTATAGAGAATTAGGGATATTAGGTTTATAACCATATAATAATTCATGAGGGGTGAAATTGGTAGTGCAATGAGGGGTAGTATTATAAGCTAATATTGCGGTAAATAAATAACAATGCCAGTCGTTTGGTTTTCATTAACGAAAGATTTTAAGTATTCTTTTAAAGTAGCATGTGAGCGTTCTAGAGCTCCATTTGTTTGTGGGTGGTAAGGAGTAGTAAATAAAGCCTTGACTTTTAAGATTTGAGTTAATTCTTTAAATAAATCAGACGTAAAACAAGTACCTAAATCCGTTAAGATTGTTTTAGGGAAACCGAAGAGAGACATAAAATGTACAAGATTTCTGGCTATTTCTTCACTGGTAGCTGTGACCAGGGGATAAGCACTTGAAAATTTAGTTAAATCATCTTGTAATGTAAGGATGAATTTGAATTTTTGAAAACCTGCGTCAGGTAAAGGACCAACGATGTCGAGAGCTAATCGTTCAAACGGTCTAGTGGAAGTAGAAGTTATTTCCATTGGGGCCTTATTGGACATTCTTAATGGTTTATTAATTTGGCATAATTGGCATTTCTTTATATAATCTACAATGTCAGAGCGCATACTTTTCCAATAATAGGCGGCTTTAATTCGTCTATACATACGACTTGAACATGGGTGACCCGCAATAGGTGAATCGTGATTCTCTTTTAAAATTTTAGGGATTTCAACGGGAGTAGGATAAATTAATTGATTTTTGTATATATGAACTTTAATGTTAGTGTTATGAAAAATATAGGCAATCATATTATATACTTTAATATAAGCTAGCTTAGAAAATGGATCTGAAAAGTCTGATAAGGCGAGATCTGTAATATCAGGGTTCTCGATTAAAATTTTATCTCTGAGTTTTATAAATAAATTGTAAATATCTTTAAATTTGGTTTCTTCATAATGATGAGTACATAAAATAGTAAGATTTATTCTTATCCTTTACGCATTGAATTGTAAATGGTTCGCGTTCGGAATTTAATAAGTCCTCAGGCTTGTCTAATTGTGCTAATATTTCTTCACATTGAGGTATAGATGAGTCAAAATCTAAAGAGACGGGACACGCAATAGTTTTTAGTTTGGATAGGTGTAATCCTTGAGTACATTCTAAGATTATTGTATTTGAAATAGGAGTTTTATTTGTAAATTGGTCCTTAAAATACTTTTCATAACTAGAATTATTTAAAGTGTTAATATCTATAACATTAACGGGACAGCGAGATAACGCATCGGCGTTAGAATTAAGACGGGCTTGTTTATAAACAATTTCGTAATCGTATTCTTCGAGTTTTAAGCGCCAACGAATGAGTCTACTACCTGGGTCTTTGACATTGAATAGCCATACCAATGGTCTATGATCGGTAACTATTTTGAATTTATTACCGTAGAGGTAAGGACGAAACGTTTTGACTGCGAATAGAATGGCTAGAAGTTCCTTTTCGGTAGTTAAATAATTGCCTTCGGGACGGTTTAGAGTACGTGATGCATAAGCTATCGGTTTATCTTTGCCTACAGGACCTTGGGATAAGATTGCACCTACGGCATAATTACTTGCATCTGTAGTTACTATGAACGGTTGAGAGAAGTCTGGATATTGGAGCAGCGGAGCAGTGATTAATTTTTCTTTTAAAACATCGAAAGCAATTTGTTGTTCTTGAGACCAGTGGAAAGTAGTATCCCTTTTTAATAAAGAAGTAAGTGGTTTTGTCAATTTAGAAAAATTGTCAATAAATCGGCGATAATAGCCTATTAGGCCTAGGAAGGATTTAATTTCTTTAGGGCTCTTAGGAATTGGAAATTGTGACACTGCTTTTACTTTTTCTGGATTAGGAGAGACACCCTTATCGGTGATAATATGACCAAGATAAGTTACTTCACGTCTTAAAAATTCGCACTTATCTGGTTGCAATTTTAGATTGTATTCGCGCAGCTTATTGAATACTAGTTTTAATTTTTCCATATGTTCATTTAAATCATGACTATAAATTATGCAATCATCTAGATAAACATAACAGCGTAGACCTTGCAAACCTGATAAGACAGTATTCATCAGGCGCTGGAAGGTAGAAGGAGCGTTTTTTAAACCAAAGGGCATTCTAGTGAATTCGTAGTGACCAGACATGCTCGAATTAGTACTTATAGTAAATCCCGTTTTTGGGGCATCTTTAGGATCCATCTTTATTTGGTGGAAACCGCTAGCAAGATCAAGGGTTGTGAAATACTTGGAATGGCCTAATTGGTCTAGGATATCAGTGATAAGAGGCAGGGGATAACTTTCGGAAACTGTGATATCATTAAGACGGCGATAGTCAATGACTATTCTCCACTTTTTTTTGCCAGAAGCGTCCAATTTTATCGGGACTACCCATACAGGGGCGCTCCAAGGCGAAACAGAGGGACGAATTATGTTTTGATTTAGCATTTTGTGAATTTGTGTATCGACTTCTTCCTTATGACACTCAGGGAAGCGAAATGATTTTACGTGAACTGGGGCCGCGTTACCCGTATCTATGGAATGTTGGATGCCATTCGTAAACGAAAGGGGTTCACCTTCGAGGTGAAAGATATCCGTATAATCGGAACAGCAATTTAAAAGTGCTTTCTTTTTTTCATCGTTGAGATGGGAGCAGCGTAAAAGACTTAATACTCGATCTATTCGATTAGATTTAGAAGTAGAAATAGAATATAAACATTTACTAGATATTGGATTTTCGCAGGAAATAGAATTATTATAATCGATCGGTGTCAATTCTACGAAATATTCTTTAATTTCTAAGTCTGTGTCAGTCGTGTTTAAAACGGTGATGTTAACTTTTTTGTTTGGTTTTATTGATACAATACAATTTGCGACGTAAATACCTTCGCTTAAGGTATGATCTAGAACTAAGCCTTCATTATTGTGATAAAGCTCGACCGAGTAATTTGATATAGCGCATTCAATGACGGCTTCTGAGCGTGCCGGAACGATGTATGTTGGCTGATGAAATATAATGGGAACTTGGTAACCACACAGAGTCATTATCTTAGAGCTATAATCTATATTAGCATTAAAATATTTAAGAAAATCTGTACCAATAATACCGTCGTAATTAAGATTTATATTATCGTTAATAACGTAAAATTTATACTCGTAAGTTTCATCACTTAATAAAAATTGTAAGTAGATTGAGCCTAGCGTTTCGCAATATGTATCCGTATCATTTATACCTTTGATTCTTATTTTGTCCTTAAGAAGTTCATGTTTCATTTTTAAACATGAGTGTTTAATGACACAGACACTCGCGCCGGTATCGATAAGAAGTTTGAGACACTTAGGAGAATATTTTGTAAATAGATTTGTATATGGTAACGAAACCTTGCATGTATTTATGCTCGTTTCAAAGATAGGAATAGAATTAGAATAAGATTCATTAAGACTCGGCTTAACCTCTTTGGGTTGCTGAGATGAAGATATAGTAAACGATTTAGTAGGACTCGGTTGTACCTTTTTGGTCAACTGAGATGCATAAGAACTAGCAAGACTCAGCTTCACCTCTTTGGGTTGCTGAGATGTAGATATAGTAAACGATTTAGTAGGACTCGGTTGTACCTTTTTGGTCAACTGAGATGCATAAGAACTAGCAAGACTCAGCTTCACCTCTTTGGGTTGCTGAGATGTAGATATAGTAAACGATTTAGTAGGACTCGGTTGTACCTTTTTGGTCAACTGAGATGCAATAGACTTATAATGACTCAGTTCCTCTTTGGGTAACTGAGATGTAAATGAGCTAGAATGACTCCGTTGCTTGCTAAAGCATTGCCGAGATGAGTTAGAATAAGAATTAGAATATGATTTAGCATAAGGATTTTTATAAGATTTAGTAGAAAAAGTAGTATTAATTGTTTTCGTGTCGTTACGATAGTACGATTTCGGCAGACACGCATCCGAAATCTTATTCAGTTTAAAGAGTTAGAGTTATCGACGGCGTCGTCGTTATCATATGTCATGTGCATAGGCACAGAGTTGGAACTAGAATAAAATTAGAATTATTATTTGGGCTACGATTTATATAATTAGAATTAGTATTAGAGTTATGATTAAAATTTTGACGTTGTTGCATATTATATTGTCGCTTTCTACAAAGATCAATAGTGTGCCCTATGTTTTTGCAATAATTACACATTAATTTACCAGAATTAGAACTAGATAAATGCGAAATTTGTTTATTATGATTATAATTAGAATGTTTTTTATTTTTAAAACATTGAATAGCAACATGGCCTACTTTATTACATATACTACACTGTATTATTGAATTTTTTGAACACGTTTGGAGATTTTGTAATTTTTCCTCTTCTATCGCTAATTGAACAGCTTCATTTAGAGTTTGAGGGTTCCTACATCTAACAATAGTAGAAATAGCAGGATTTAACCCTAACAAAAATGTATTTAATGCTAGATCCTCCATGGCGGCTATTCTACCTGGAAGCTCATCAGCGTTTTTGCAACTATAGTGTATATCTGATTGAATTTTTGTTAAAATTTGTTCTAATTTTAAAGAAAACTTAGTGACGTCCTCGGATGACTGTTTACAGTTTTGCAAGTCTGATAGTAAATGTGTCGCATGTTTTTTCTCCCCAAAAGTAGAACGGAGAAATGATTTTATTTGATTCCATGTTTCAAAGGTTTTTAAACTACATGCAACTTGTGCTTTTCCCTCTCGTTGTGAGATGATGAATTTGCACAGAATAGGCTGTTGTTCTGGTGTAGCTAACGACATTGCATTGTCGCAGTTTGTGAGAAAAGCGGGTAGGGAATCTTTCTCCCCATTGTAAGATTTTATGAATTTCGTCAAGAATGAAAGCGTGATTTTTTCCGACATATTTTCTTTACCTTTTTCTGCTTTAAGCGACATAGAATTAAATTTTAAATATTAAACTTATATAAAATAATCACAATAAAACAACGTAAAAGGTTGGTAATAGTACAGAAACAGTGTAAAATAAAAGTAAATTTTAAATTTAAACAGAATACAAAATGACTTACAGAATGGTAATAATTTCTACACGTAGCATTTAAGCGTCGTAACAATAGCTAGGTGAAACGTTACACTCGTGGCGGCTGGCAGGCGAGATCGCTGACGCGGTGACTCCGTCACGTCGTGGGAAATAGTAGGACCGGAAGACGTAGAAAGTTCTTGAAATAATTTTTGTTGGTGAGTTAGATCCAGCTGGTGCGGGCTCCTGGTGGAGACTTATCGTCGGCCAGACGGGAGATTTCAGGACGAGGTGTAAGTGGAGCGGGCTCACGCTTCAGAGCGGAGGCTGATCGTCGTCCAAAATTGTGGTAGGTGCAGGCTTAGGCACGGCTAAGGCTTAATGTCGACCTTGATGATTTCGGGGACCTCGGATTCGGATGCCAATGTCTTCTATGACCTTCTGTTTGGCATCCCACTTCTGACACCAATTTGTTAGGAGGCCGATCCCGTTTGACTTTTTTAAAAAAAACCACAAGGTAAACCTAAGGTTTTATTATAAAAGTTTACACACACAATTAATATTAACCCCGACTTCCGAACTCTAATACGTATCGGAATCTATGTCCGATCTACCCGGGGCTCTGAATCTAACTGACTGTAAAATGGAATAAAATTAATATGGAAAAGAACAATGCAATTACTTATTGACGTCATATATAGGAAAAGTACCGTGGGATTGAATAAATGCTTACTAAGATTTAACTGCGTTGTAAAAAGGGATATAACAGATCGCAGAACATCTCGCACTTGACATAAACGAGACGGTTGTACCGCCATCTAACGGAAGCCTTAAGGACATTCTGATAGATGATTTTCTATGTATAGTTGCTTCTTACGATACCCGCAGGGACAAATTGTAGCGACGAATTCTACGCCACCATCATTCATAAGTACGTTAAAATAAGTTAAAGTGTTAAGCGAAAGGTCAATATTTTATTTACATGATATGTTCTTTTATCAACGTGTAAAAGTTCACTTCTGGAGAAGTACTCAATGGAACCTTAAAATTTACGGGACCGTCAGATGCTAATTAAACTCTGTTAGTTCTTTTTGTTATTTACAATTTAATCATAGGCATCATAGGTACATCAATTTGATGTAATGTCTAGATACTGTTGCAGGCATTGAGTAAGTTGTTTGCGCACGTACTACTACTATAAATCAAATTTCATCATGTAAACGCATTTGGCTTAGTAAAAGAGTTTATTTATTTATTTACACACACAATTAACAACTATCCTTACAGGCTAAACACTACGATAGTCTCGCTAATTTACTTAAATATACTATGTATTACAAGTAACTTACATAACTAACTACGTATAAAAGTACCATAGCGAGTTCACTCAGATTACTCGAAAATATGTCAATCCCCTCCTGAACTTTGTTCACTACGAGGATTGTTCGGACTATAGGTGAGTTACCAAGCAAATTGATCCTGGTCACGGGCAGCACGAGCAGCGGCGGGCGGCGCCGCCTCCACACGTACCGGTCCGGTGCGCACAGCTGCAGGTGGCGCAGCAACCCCGGGTTGCACGCGGTGCCAAGGAGCAACTTCACTACGTAGATATGCAGCCAGGGCAAACTCCCGTCTTACTCTGAGCTGATTGTACCCGACCATCCCGAGCACGAACAATGTGGGGTACCTTAAAGGGTAAAACGGATATACCCCATACAGTTTGAAGTACATGTGCCTCATAAATTTGTTTTGGACATGTTCTAGCATTAGGCTGTACTTTTCTTCGTGCGGAGCCCACATAACAGCACCGTACTCCAAGTGACTCCTGACCAGAGCATCGTATAGCACTTTCAGTGTGGTAATATTTGTAATATCTCGTGACTGTCTCAGGACAAAACCCAGGTTTCTATACACCTTTTGACAACTTTTAACAATATGCTCGCGAAACGTTAGATCGGAGGCGAGATGGATTCCGAGATGTCGTAAGTTAACTTAGTAAGACTTAAGTAGGTTCAGGCATATGATTTTCTTGTATTTGAGTGAGAAAAGTCTGCAGTAGAATCTCTCACGTAACACCAAACAAGTGAAACTTCGTCATTTCTCCACTATTAAAACATTGTTACATTGTACTTCTAAACATGCAAGGATGGTGATTTAAATGCTAACGATGGTAAAGACGATTTGAAGGATACCTATCTC